GGAAGGATGCCGCGACACCCTCCCCCACCCCGCCCCCCGTTCCCCAGCGGAGACGTAGAAAGCCACTCGCAGTCGGAGAGGCACCCGGACACAAAGACCTCGCGCCAGCCAGCCGCATACCCAAGTTTCTCTCTGAGAGACCCAGGGGGCTCGGGCTGCGTTCCCCGAGAGAACAAACGGATGGACAGACCGACAGACGAGCCCTGGGACTTCGACACCCCTGAAGAGACGAGTTATGTCCTCAGCCGAAGTGTCCCAGGTCTCCTGCTCGCTCCACGGATCCTTCCCTTGGTGATCGCCCGCAGAACGAGCGGAGAGACGAGAGGGAAACTGAGGCCCCCGAGGGGTGCCACATCCCGGGAGCCTGGGTTTTCGCGGGTCCCCGCAGAGTTACAAGGGAGGGCAGAGGGATGCTCTCCTCCCGGGTCCCCTTCGCGTCTCTCCGCTTGCCCTGCGGGTCATGGGCCAGGGCACTGGCCAACGGTGGTTGCGAATCCAGAATCCTGAGCCGAAGTTCTCTCTCTAGGTTCTGAGACTCCAGAGGCAAGAGCTTTTTTGGGGGTGGGGTGGGGCAGACCAGGCGAGAATCCAGGAAGGAAGGGGGCCTCGGGTTTCGCGTTACCTGCGTTGACCGCGCTCGGACTCCGCTCTGGGGTCTGCAGCTCGAAGCTCTGACAAGTCTCCAAGTCCAGCCCGAGAGGGGGCGGCCGGGCCCGGCACAGCGAGGCCAGGACCGCGAGCGCCGCCTGGCACCGAGGCCCCTCGGTCCCCCACGGCCCGCTCATGCCCCGGACACCCCGGCTTTCCGAGCAGCCGCCGGAACCGCGCCTTGACCGGACTAGGGCGGGGCAAGGAGGCCCCAAGAAGACCCTCCCAGCAGCGGCCCCTGCGGCTCCGTTGGGCTTTTAATCACTACCCCGCAGGGTCTCCGCCCCTCACGTGGCATCCCACAGCAGCTGGCAAGTCTGGCGCCTCACGGCCGCCCCCTCTACACGCAGGGACTGGTCTGAGTCCCGGTGGGTTTGAGGAGATGGAACCCAGTTGTCCCGCATCCTGAGGGGTGCAAGGCCCGGGGATCTGGTCGGCATTCACTGCCTGGTGTGACCTTGGGCCTCTCTGAGCCTCAATTTCCCTCTCTGTAAAAGGAGAATAATGATTGCGAGTGCTTCACGGGCTGCCTGAGGATATAGTGTTTGTGAAAATACTGGGGAAATTGCCACATGTCACACAAGTGGCAACGAAATAGATAAACCCATTACAGAGAGAAGGACGACCCAGCTGGGGGTGGGAGGACCTTGGCAAATGTTCCTGACGGGAGAAGTTAGTCAGACTTGCCCCGAGTCCCAGTTTCGGAGGCAGAAGACCCTAAGACTGCGCGGCAATGCGAACTGCAAAAAGACTTCCCAAACCCCGCAATCCTGCGGTCCGTGGTATCCGCACGTTACTATGGCGACGGGAGGCAGCGGCCGTCTCTCTCCATGGCAACGGGAGGGGAAAGTTTCTGGCGAATAGAAATCGGGGGCATTTCAAGAGGGCGCTCCGTTCCCGCCAGACCCACCTCCCCGCTTCTGTGCAACAGCACAGAGATAATGTATCTTGCAGTTAAGCATAACAAGGGCCGGGGAGACAAAAACTAAACGGTAGATTGAGGCTTGAGACTCAAGGCAGAACTCCCCTCCAGGGACTGTGACATGAAGTTCAGGAGCAGGTTGGCTGAGGGGCTCTGAGGCGCCTCACTCAGCCCTGGAGATCTATGGGCCACCACCAGGCGCGGCCTTATCGGGACCCTGTCACAAAAGTCCCACCGTTCTCGGTTTGTCCGCGGGTGGGCCCCTTGCGGTGTGGGGCTCACCCGAAGCTCCAGGCTCAGGTCCCTTTGCCTTCCGGAGCTGGGACGGATACTTTAGCTGGAGCCTCCGGAAGCCACAGGGCTGGTGTGAACCGTGGTGGTGGGTTGGGGCGGAGGGTCTTTCTTCCTAATTAACACACTAATTTGAAGCGGCTCAAGCGGTGACTCATGTTCCAGAGGGAGGAGATTCGGAGCCCAGCTCCTGGCGGTCTCCACCATGCAGCATCTGCGCCAGCCGCGCTAGCCTGCCCTTGGACTTGAGAGCCGGGAGCAGCTAGTGCTCGCCATGGTCAAAGGGCCAAGGGAGGCCTGAGGGGCCCCTGGCCTAACCAGGCTGTTTTTCCTGTAGGGACACCCTCCCTGGCTCTGTCCACGGTGCTGAAGACCCAGTTAGTGTCACCGTCGTGTCGGAACCGGATTAGGAAAGGGATGGGTGGGGCAATTGCAGAGGGTTCACGGCTTCCACCCTGGACCTATGGAGCCTGCGGCAGAAGGCTGGGAACGCAGGTGGGAGCGACTGAACAGGTGTGATCCCAGCGACATTATGCAATCGAGGCCGCCTGCCTGCGGTAGATGTTCAGTTGCTGTTTCAAGAACAGGTGAGGCTGTGGGGTCCCCATTCGCCTCCCAGTGCTTCTAGACCCATCTGAGGAGCCCAGAGGTCCTATCACCTTCCTCTCCACCACCCATCACAAAGCTCAGCGCCTGTGAGAAACAGGAGCTTGGAGGCCCCTCATTACACGCTCATTGGCAGTTTCTGAGGAGACAGGTTTGTGTTTATTTAAAATACAAATGGAGAAAAACCGCTCTCTGCCCATGTTTATGGCAACTCTGTCACTCCGCGGCGATTTCACCCTCCCCCTCTCGAGTTCCCAGGGAAATTCGCAGAACAAAGCGCCTTGTTTTGCCTTTGCAGAGAATGAAAAAAACAGCATCGTTCAGAGGGGCCCAGGCCTGTGATGCAGGGAAATCAATATTTTGCTTACAACGAGTGGGGGAATTTACATCTAAACTGAAGGCAAAGGAGCCTGCTCCTAGTAGAGCAGGTGGCAGAAGCTGAGAATTAACAGATAATTTCTCATTGTTCCTGGATTCAGCCTCCACACTCGGCAGGCAGTTCTGCAGTGTCTCTGGTGCCCCGGCTGCAGCTCTGGACCTGGCATTTCTCAACGGAGCAGAGAGAAGGAGGTTCTGCTCTGACAGGACTGAGGGAAGGGTCTGGGGCTCCCAAGTCACTCAATAGCTATTGAATTTGGAGTGTTTGAGTGAGTGCGTGTGAGAGACACAGAGAAAGAAACAGAGACAAAGATAGAGATGAAAAAGACAGAGGCAGGGAGACAGAGAGGCAGAGGGATAGAGAAAGACAGGCAGAGGGACCCACACACATATAAAGGGGCAATCACTGAGAAACAGAGATAAAAGAGAAATGATTTTTTTCTTACATTAAGAAAAAGCTTCACCCTCGTTGTCCTCTTTATTGTCTTCCTCCTCCCCCCTCCCTGCCCCCAGGTCAATTGCTGATACCTGTAGTCACATATCCAGCCACAAAGCAGAAAAAAAATCCTCATGTAAAGATGGGAACTTTTCCTCTCTAGAACCCCTTTCTCTCACAAACCCACTCTTAAAACACATCTATGTTTCTTCCTATATTCAGACTCCCAGGGTCCTGCCCAGACCAGGGGGGTGGGGTCCAGGGAAGGAGGGGACAGAAGTGGAATTGTTGCCCATCAACACTGTCTCTTAGAAGAAAAGACCATTCTGTTTTGGTTTAGGGGTGGGAGGAGAGGAGGGGCAGAGACAGCATGGCATAGTGGCAAACAAGGGTACTGGGCAGCAGACTGGGTTCCACGATGGATGCACCAAACCAGCAATGAGGCAGTCAGATCCCATGTCAGGGCATCAATTCCCTCATCTGCAAGATGATGAGGTTGAATGAGGAGCTCTCTCAGGCTCCTTCCAGTAGCAACTCTAGAATTTTACACGAGGGGAAAGAAGAAGCCTGAGGGGGGAAAGTAAGGAGGTAGACAACTGAAACGCAGTTTTTCCTGACTCTGAAGAGGGTGGTGTTACAGATGTCCAGGCTCACTTTGGACTTCCCCTCCCCCATTGCTCTCATCTCATCTGTGCCCATGGCTGAAGCATCTTGAGTCTGGGACCCCCGTTCCTGCCCCATCAAGATGTGACTGCTTGGAAGCAGCAAGGGGAATTGGAGGGGTGGGGGGTGTGAGGCAGAATGAGAGGAGGTTTGAGGCAGAAACGAGCAGCCTCCCACTCCTTGCCCTCCTCTCCTCAAAATAGCCAAAATGTACACCTCCTATCCCTCACCCCAAGTCTCTCAGGCAGTCACCTGACTGCCCTTGGACAGGTTTCCCCACACACACACACCTGCTCTGAGCAGCAACATCTTGTTGAGTTATGCTACAAATAAAATAAATAAAAACAAAATAATAATTTCTAAAATAACTTAAACCTCAGTAGGAAATTGCTAACGCTGTAGGCGGGAAGGATGAGCTCTTTTGACATGAGCTGATGTGTCATATTGTCTTTCCATCTCAGAGCAGTTTCTAAATAAAGAGCCCTTTCCCCATTTCCTCCTCCCCGCCAAGCCCCCAGCAGTAAAGGGAGCAATCTGACATTCATAACTGGATTGTCTGATGTACAGGGAGAGACACCAAGAAATAGACACCAGTGGACCCATTGGTTTGCCAAGAGGATTGGAGCCAAGAGGGCTCCAACTCTACCCTGAAGACCTCTGATCTTCCTTTCTCCACAGCCCCCACCTCCTGTTTACTAAGGTACGTGGCCACTTTCTGCAAAGGTTTTGAACTTTAAGAAAATAGATATCAGTTAAACCTGTTCTACGGCTGGTGGAGAATTCAGTTGATGTCCTATATTGGGGAGTGGGAATAATAACTGCACCATTCTTTGGAACAAACTCTGCTATAGAATCTGTGCTATGGGGTTTCTGCCTGAACAGCTTTCTCAGTATTTCCAGCAGATGTCACCCTGTGCCACCCATCCCCCACAACAAATAGCAACTCTAGCCAAAGCTGGGTGACTAATTAATGCAAACCATGCCATTCCAAGCCATCATCAGAGTTTTCAGGAATTCCTCCTTTCCTGAAAAGATGCAGGAGACATTTCAGGGCCCTGAATCAATGCCCAGTCGTTTCTGAGAGTTCAGTCTTGTTTTTATTCTAGGAAAGATCCTTGGCAATCCACACCCCCTGAGCCAGGAGTATGTTTGCCTCTTTCTCATTCCTTCCCCATTCCAGAGGTCTCACATCTGTTCTGTGCTCTGTGCCCAAGCATACAGTGTTCCAGATCAGACGGGAAGACAGGACAAGGTTTGCTGCTTCCAGTCACCTGGGGATTGGGGAAGCAGAGACAGGTAAGGTCAGAAGGCAACATCATCCCTGAAACAGTTTTAGAGTTGGGCGTGACCATGGTGGGTCCAAGACTCTCTCTGCATTATTTAAGAAGTGAGAATGAGGGGTGGCTGGGTGGCTCAGTTTGTTGCAGTGCGTGCTCTTAACAACAAGGTTGCTGGTTCAACTCCCACATGGGATGGTGGGCTGTGCCCCCTTCAACTAGATTGATAACGCGACTGGACTTAGAGCTGAGCTGTGCCCTCCACAACTAAGATTGAAGGACAACTTGACTTGGAACTGATGGGTCCTGGAAAAAACACATTGTTTTCCGAAAAAACACATTGTTCCCCTCCCCCGCCAAAGAAGTAAGAATGATATTGGAGGGGAAGGGCTAGAAAGAACACCAAGCACACGCCTCTTCACACTGACCTTGTGGAGAAGAAAGAGTACAAGTTTTGGAGTCAGACCTATGTTCAAATCCTGGCTCTATCACTTACTTTAGGCACTGTACTTTAGCTTTCTGAACCTGAACTTCCTTATCTGTAAAATGGGACATGAAGGCCTGCTTTATAATGTATAAGGATTCTATGCTAGGCTAAATGCCTAATATACTGTGGCAGGTGTTAACACAAAGGACAGCTCCCAGCCTCTTTCTTTCATCCCTCAGATCATAGAAGGAGACCCAGCAGGCTCGTTGTCCAGAGGTTAACCCTTACTCTTCCATCAGGCAAGTCCCTAAAAATTGCCAAGAGGTCATTTATCTCATTTAATCCTATAAAAAGCCCAAGAGACAGGATGGGGGGATATTACAGTTCATTTTGGTAAATGAGGAAATTAAGTGACTGGTCCCACACACACTAGGACGTGGCAGAGAATTGGCATCCAACCCTTTTGATCCCTGGTCAGTGCCCTTCCCTTCTACTGGGGAGGATGATGAGGATGTGAATACTTTTATTTATTTTACAAAAAAAGTTATCATATTTAAAAAATTGACTTTATAATGAACAAAAAGATATTTGGAAGGAAATCACAGAGCAGTGAAAGATTTCCCCTTGGTCTCTTTGCAAAGTTCTTGGCCCTCTGACCTGAACCATTCCAATTGCCTCTTGGACCCAATTGCCGATCTAGAGAAAAGATGGTGTCATTGATAAAACACAGGGCTGCCGGCAGACAGCTCCATGGCTCAGGACATGCCTGGCTGCCTCACTCTGGACAAAGATAGGACTCCTCCAAGGGCAGCTTGCAGAGTCTTTGTTACATCTGGGTTGTGTCCTAATGTCATAGCCCAGCTTCCAGGAAAGGGCCAAACCCAGCTTCTTGTAAAACCAGGACTCCAAAGATTGGAATTCTCCCCAAGGAGCCTGGAGAGAGTTTGCAATCTCAGAACCCTGGCTGTTCCACTAATGAAAAGAAACCAGACCAAATGCCCAAGCTAATTAAAGTGACAAATCTGAAAAGGCCCTGTCAAAACTAGGAAGTCTTAATACTTGATTTCAACGGAACCCAAGCGGGAAGCATCAACAGAGCATGTTTTGGGTCAGGGGCCTGCAGCCCCCTGTGGAAATGAGGGGCCGGAGCCCCTGGAGGGAACACATTTGTCTCCCAAATTTTGGCCTCCATCCATTCAGGGGAATACAAATCCTTTCCACCCCAGCCTCCAAGCCTAATCTACATTTCTGCTGGTTGCTAGAGGTACAGTAAATGGTTTTAGTGAGTCAGCACCCAACCTGTGTTAATACTCCCGTACATCTGTAAAGCGTGGTACCATTTACACAACACTCACATACAGTATTTCATTTCATACTCGCAGCAACCCTGAGAAGCGGATATTATTATCCTCATTTCATTAGTGAGGTCTCAGAGAGGCTAAAAATAACTGACTGGGGATTACAGTTAGCAACTGGCAGAGCTTGAACCTGAGCCTGCCTTTTCATGTTATTCATTCATTCATTCACTCATTCAGCATTTATTGAGGTCCTATACCAGGCACGTGAGACACAGTCCTTTATTCCCCCTGCACGCTGACTGTCACGCACAGTGTGCTGAGCCCTAAGCGCACAGTCTGTCCTGGGGGATTGCACATAATTGGTTGTAGAGAGAGGCCACACGTGAAATGGTGTTAATGGGTTAAAATGAGTTCTTTGACCCTTTTGCTGCAGAGCTGGCCATGCCCACATCCACTGTGAAATTCTTTTATGACATGATTCTGCCTGGATTTCCCTCCCTTCCTGGTTCTCACTCTTTCCTCTGCCTCCTCCAAACCCTTCCATTTTCTGCAGGGTTCAGCACTCATCCCTTCTTTCTTCTGTCTCTGCGCATTCTTTCAGGGTGATCTCATCCACTCCTGGAGCCTCCAACACTAAATAATAATAATCTTAATATAATAGTAATACTACTAAACATTTACTGAGCACTTACTCTGCCCCGGAGTCTCTGCTGCTTGCCCTGTGTGGATGAGATCATTTAATTCTGACTGTACCCCTATTTCCATCTGCAGTTTGCAGGTACCAAGTGACAGAGGCAGAATTTGAATCCAGGCAGTCTCTCTCTCTGGGATCCCAGAGTCTAAGGACTCCAGATTCTGTTTTCCTGACATGTCTCTCCCCTGGGTCTGCACGTGCATCTCCACATTCTTGCTGTGAACCATTTTACCTCTCCACCTCCTAACCCAACATGTCCATGACAGAATTCACATCTTCCTTCACAAGCCTGCCCCATCTCCTCAAAGGACATTCAACCCAATTAAATCCATCGTCTCAGAACCCCCCTTGATTATTCCCTCTCCCTTATCCACCCACATTTTGCCTGTCACTGAATCCTCTTGCTTTTATCTCTAAATGTTTGAACCCCTGTCCTCCTCATTGCATTCACTGCTCAAGCTCAGACACTCCACCTCTCATGGCAGTTGCTTCATGGAATAATACGATTATGTCGTAGGCTTCCTGCGGCCCTCAGGACGATGTCCACCCTCTGTGGCATGGCATACAAGGCCTGTTCAGACTTAGTCTCTGTCCACCTACCTGACACTCCTGGTGCCCCTTTAGGTGGCCTGTGTCATGGTCACAGGGTGCTAATTCCTGTCTCACGTCCTCACACTCCACCCAACCTTCTACGCTTTTGCTGTTTGTTCCTGCAGTTTGTCTTCTCCTCCACCTGTGCCCTCTCTAGATTCTGGAACTTGGAAATTCCTTGTTTCTCTGCCTGAGCACCTTTTCTCTTTTCCTCGTCACCCAGGTGGTTCCTACAGGATGGAGTGGGGCACAGAGGTTGAGAGTGTGAGCTTTGGAGCCAGGCTGCCTGGGTTCAAATCTTAAATCTGTCATGTAATAGCTGTGTGACCTTGGGAAAGTGACTAAAACTCTCTGTGCCTCAATTTTCTTGTCTAGAAAATAGAGATGATAATAGTAATACCTCTCTTACCAGTTCATTGACAGTTTTAAATGAGTTGATATGCACAGAGCACCCAGAATAGGCCCTCTGACTTCCAGATCTGTCTCAGATGTCCCCTTTCTTGTCAGCCCATTGCACCCAATGCTTCCCTTTGTCATAGAGTTTAGCAACAGGACACTGTTGTTTGTTCCTAGACTGTGAGCACCTTGGCCTTAGGGTCTGTATCATATTCATCTTTATATCCTCAGCACCTCACACCTAGCCCACACCTAGTTCTGTGGGTATCTATTGCTTTGAAGAGAGGTGGATCTGTGAATGTGCTGAGTGTGTAATGGAAGAACCCCAGAGAGGAGTAAAAGGGGCCAAATCAGGGAAGGCTTCCTGGAGAAGTAGAGTTTTGAGTTTTTTGGGTAGGTAAGACTGGATGGAATGGGAAACACATTCATTCCAGGCTGCAGAAACAGCCTGTGACAATGCTTTCCAGCCTAAATAAGTACTTCCTGTGAAAGGGGAGTGAGGAGATTTTCTTGGCTAGAGCACAGATGACGGACAAGGTGTGAGAGGACTGTCAGGTCCCATGCATCCCCATATTCACCTCTCCGACGCTCAGTCTTATTCGGCTGGATTTTCACGGAAAGCCCAGGTTGTCCTCTCCAGTCAGGAGGCAAGTGGAGGAAGACCCAGTCCTCATTCTCAAGGAGATTGTGACGAAGCTACAGGAGGCTGGGAGGAACCAGCTCCAAACTTCTCTGTGAATACACCAGAGTCTGGGTCATGACAAGTTTCTTTATGAGAAGAAATTGCTCATTTTCCTCAAGTGCCAAGCCATTGCTGTGAAGTGAATGTGTGTCTGCTGGGACAGCTGACTGTTTTCCAGGATAAATTTCTAATAACACAGAGTCATTACTGTGCAGTTAGTGCTGCTGCTGGGGAATGTGCAGTTCCCTTCCTGTTCCCTCCCTTTTCGCCTCTCTCTGCTCTTCCCCACCCCTGCACACACATGCTTCTCTGCCCTCTCCCTTCTAACCTCCAGCTGGCTGTGGGAGGAGAGAGGGCCCAGGGTGGGGGTGTCATAGTGTGGATTTTCACTCAGGCCCCCCAAATTAACAAAATGTATGCAGAGCTGGGAGGGGGTAAAGAACAAAAGGTGAGTGATGAGCAGGGAGAGGCTGAACATCTGTAAACTGAAAAGGGAAGTGCCCAGTAGCCTGTGGGGGCAACTTGCCCTTCAGGGTGTGGAGCTGCAATCTGCCACCCTAGGGACCCTGTCTAATGCCCTGGTAACAGGGGATTAGCCCCAGCAGTGGGGAGACTGCCCCATACCGAGGCCAGGAACTGGCTGTATGGGGGTGACATTGTATTGGTTTAGGCTGCTGGGAGGAACAGCAGCTAAACTTGATGGGAACATATTTTGTTTCATTCTGAGTAATTATTGGCCCAATACACACACACACGCATGCACATGCACATGCACACGCAAACACTCAGCCACCCAGACATACATGCATAGGCCACATTCAGACATGTCCCTGGGGGTATTTTTCAGACATGCTCCTGAAAGCACCTGACAGATTCCCTGACATACTTTCCCTCTGGAAGGCTACTGACTTTTTAGGAAATCTCAGTCATT